CCCAGGCTGGAGTGCAATGGCGCGATCTCGGCTCACCGCAACCTCCGCCTCCTGGGTTCAGGCAATTCTCCTGCCTCAGCCTCCCGAGTAGCTGGGATTACAGGCACGCGCCACCATGCCCAGCTAATTTTTTGTATTTTTAGTAGAGACGGGGTTTCACCATGTTGACCAGGATGGTCTCGATCTCTTGACCTTGTGATCCACCCGCCTCGGCCTCCCAAAGTGCTGGGATTACAGGCGTGAGCCACCGCGCCCGGCCAAGAGATCAGTCTTTTTTCCTCCGGCTTTCTTCAAACTAAACTAGCTAACAGAAGCAAGATGAGTCTTTAGTTTTGATTGGCAAAGAAAAAGATAACAACTCTTTGATAATGCCCAATACCACAACCTTCAAAAATAGGGGAGGAGAGTGGGGTAGAGGCGAGGTAGAGAAAAGAATAAAAGAAGTGGAATCCACTCATGTTAAGTCAGTACATCTCACATTACTTCCTAAAGAAGAACTAGAGAAAGTGTTAGTGTATAAACAGAAATATAGCATAATGATCCAGCAATCCCACTACACTTCGGGTGTATATCCAAAGGAAGTGAAATCAGTATTTTGAAGAGACATCTGCAATTTCATGTTTATTATAACATTATTCACAATAGCCGAGACATAGAATCAACCTATATTGGATGAATGGATGAAGAAAATGCAGTATATATGCACAATGGAATACCATTCAGCTATAAAAAGGATGAAATCCTATTCTATGTGACAGTATAGGTGAACCTGGAGGACATTATGTTAACTAGAATAAGCCAGGCACAGAAAGACAAATACTGGATGACCTCACTCATATGTGAGAGCTAAAATAATTGAGATCATGGAAGCTGAGCATAGAATAATGGTTACCAGAGACTGGGAAAACAGAAGGAAGAAAGAGATGGGGAAGGTTGGTTAACAGGTATGATGTTACAGCTAGGTGGAAGGAATAAGTTCTGGCACCCTGTTGGATAGTATGTGACTATAGTTAACAATAAGGTATTGTATATTTCAAATAGCTAGAAGAGAAGATTCTGAATGTCCTCATAACAAAGAAATGATAAATGTTTAAGGTGATGGATATGCCAGTTACCATACTTTGATCACACAGTGTATACATGTATCAGAATATCATGTTGTATCCCATAAATACGCACAATTATTATGTGCCAGTAAAAAATAAGTAAGGCATAAAGTTTCTTCAATTAATATTGATGGAATCCCTACTCTATGTCAGGCACTGTGCTAAATCCTGGGGATGAAGTGCTGAATTTGCTTACAGTCTTTCTTTGAAGGAACTTACAGCCTAAGTAGACAGACACAAGACTGAAGAGTGTGATATGGTATTGCAGTGATGGAAATGTGAATAGGATGCTCAGGAGCTCAGAGGAGGGGCATGTCAAACTGGCTTCTTTAAGGAATGTGATGCTTAAAGTGAGCCTTAGGGAATGAATAAAGTTGGCCAGCTTAAGAGAAGTGCGACAGGAAGAACATTCCAGGTAAGAGCAAAAACACAGAGGTCATGATAGTTAAAGTACAGAATTTGAAGAAAGGGAAGAAAGACGAGGCCTTTGGGGAAGATGTTTTTGTTTTTGTTTTTGAGGCAGAGTCTCGCTCTGTTGCCCAGGCTGGAGAGCAATGGTTTGACATCTTAGCTCACTGCAACCTCTGCCTCCCAGGTTCCAGCCATTCTCCTGCCTCAGCCTCCCAAGTAGTTGCGTTACTAGTGTGCGCCACCACACCCAGCTAATTTTTTTGTATTTTTAGTAGAGATGAGGTTTTACCATGTTGGCCAGGCTGGTCTCAAACTCCTAACCTCGAGTAATCAGCCCACCCTGGCCTCCCAAAGTGCTGAAATTACAGACATCAGCCACTGCACCAGACCTGAAAGATGGGTTCTGTTTGGAGTCTGAGACACCCCAATGAAAGTTTTTGGCAAGGAAGCTGAGTATGTGGGGCTGAAGTTTCGAGATCATCTGGGATGGAGATAGAGATCTGAGAGGTAGGAATTGAGAGCTGAAAATATGAGAGTTAATTAAAGCATCCAGGGAGCATATACCAAGTGAGATCAACAGGTATTTGAGAAGAGAATGCAAATAAAAACCAACATTTAAGGACAGACAGCTCGAGAAGCAGAGAGAATAAGTCAGAAAGTTGGGAGCAAACACAAGAGTTTGGCATCACAGAAGGTCAAGGTGTAGAATTAAAACAAAGGTGAGGCCTATAGAGACAGATGGCCTTGCTCTTCTGGCAAGGTAAGGACTGAAAAGATGAAGGCATTAGAGACACCAGGAAAGGCTTTGATCAATAGTGAGGATGAAAAAGGTAATTTTGAGAGGAAGTAAAGAGAAAATCTGTAGTCTACTCTTGAGATAAATCTGGATGAGAAGAGAGGTTGGGTGACAGCTGGAGAAATATAGAAGGTCAAAGGAGGAGGAGGTGGCAGATGAACTGCTTTGAGAGTGCAAGATAAGAGATTTCAGTATGTTTTTAGGCTGAAAGGAAATGCCAGTGGAAAGGTTGGAAACAGGAGACATAGGGAATGACAAATGGAGGGAACTCCCAGGGGAGGAACATCTTGTGCACTGAGTCTGGAGAGGTGGGGAGGATGCTCTCACATGATTCATAGACAATTTGGCCCACCTGATTTAATACTCTGCCTGCATCTCCTAATACAGATTCTCTCTTCCTTCTGTCAGCAAACAGCTCACTGTGCCTTGGATTTGCTGTGTCCTGCAGGAGAATTGTGCTTAAACTATGGGAAGCGGCACATCCACCCAACATCATTTTGCTTTCCAGAATGCAGAGAGAGGTATGTGTTTCCCACTTTCCAAACCAGCTGTGGGTACCACAAAGCCAAGATTGCATGGAGAGGGTTGGGGATTCTCAAGGTAGAAGCAAAACCATTACATTTCTCCTCAGGCCAACTCTTAGAGGTCAACTTCCCCTCCTTGTGTCATGCCCACCAAAATGTCCAGTTGATGTATATTTCAGAGAATTAAAATTTGCTCAGGGAGTTAGTATTGTCCGTTGGGGTTGATCCCTAACTACCCATGTACAAATAAATGAAATAAAGTTGGCCAAAGAGGGGATGAAACACATTCCAGGCAGAGGGTAGAGCATGTGCAAAGGTCATGAGGTGGGAAGAAGGAAGAATGAGCCCCCTCTCGTGGCTAATCTAACAGTTTTTAAAAACAATAGGCCAGGAGATGTGGGTCACACCTGTAATCCCAGCACTTTAGGAGGCTCAGATTAGAGAATCTAGCTTGGGCCCAGGTGTTTGAAACCAGCCTGGGCAACATAGCAAGACCCCATCTCTACAAAAAAAATTTTTTTTAATTAGCTGGGTGTGGTGGTGAGGATCTGTAGTCCTAGATACTTGGGAGCCTGAGGTGGGAAGACTGCTTGAGCACAGGAGTTCAAGCCTGCAGTGAGCTGTGATCACACCATTGCACTGCAGCCTGGTGACTGAGTGAAACCATTTCTAATATGGTAAGGATATCAACTGTGATGTGAATGGCAATTTTTATTCCCAGTTTGTCATTTGTTTGGACCAATTTTGGAATTAGCTTCAGCTCAGGGTTTCCTTATCTTGTGAAGAACACAAATTCAACCCCCACACACCACAAGCTAAGACTTCCTATCTCACTGAGGACTCTGAGTTCTAGGTCAGCTTACCTCCTGTTACCATGGGGGTTGGGAGGCAGAGATTTATTAGATCGCTCAAGGTACAGAAACTTCCCCAGCTCCTGCCTTTTCACAGACAGTCCAGTTACCACTCCCTGTCATGCACAGAACCCAAGAACTCACTCCCATCCGCATATGGGTGTTAAACCCCCAGCTCCTGAGACATGTGTCTGGTCCAGATTCCCCTGGGGCTTGCCTGACTTTAATGACTGTAACTGCCCTTGGCTATGGGTTTTATCTTCATTTCTGGCACCCAGAGATCTCCCTTCAATGCTTTCGACTTCAGTTATCTGTAAAAAAAAAAAAAAAAAAAAAAAATTAGCTTATGTTATGCAGCTTTTTTAGTGTGTTGTAGTGTGAGGGAGTCCTCCATCTACTTAAGCATGCCATTTCTTATTGGAAGTCGATACTGGCCTCTCTATTTTCCTTAAAGTGATATCATAATTCATTAAGTTTTTATTGCTTACCTTTTGGCAAGCTTATACTTCCATTAGAGAAAGGCACTTCTTCCTACAGGTATCATTTTTTTTCCTTTAGATCAGTGTTGTATATAGAGACATAAATATTGTTGAAAAACATAATGAAAATAAGAGGGTAATCATCAAAAAATTCTCTGTTCTATTTTTCTTAAATAAGTTACCGGTTCTCCCACAGTCTACTGTGCATTGCCTTGGTTCACAATTTTCTCACAGGGTTGTTACATGTGGAGCTTTTACAGCCCAGGTGTATTTGTAACGTGTGCCTTAATAATTTAGTTTACACATGGCCCAAGTAAGAGGTGCCTCTACATTTTTGCATTGTGCTGTTAAAAATACATGATGAGATAAAGAATCTTAAAAGATCCTGCACTTCCCAGAGCCCATCTCAACTAAAGACAAGCCAGCCCCCTCACACCTCCCCAGATAGCCAACCAGGAGAAAGAAAGAAAGAGGGAGAATGAGAGGTGTTGCCCATTTCTCCTGCCTTCGTAGCCAAAGCAGGACTGAGGATATAATATGTATGTCTCATCATTGACAGCACTGGCCTTAGAATGCTCAGGGCAAGGTGTTAGCAGACAACCTGATGTCCATGATCTTCCTCAGTGGTCCTTAAACTTTAGCACAAGTAAGAATTATGTATGGAGCTTGTTAAACTTCAGATTCCTTCCTGGATTCCATCTGTAGAGATTCTGATGTTGCAGGACCAGGGTGAGGGGTAGCAGCTTGCATGTTTACCAGGAGTCCCTGAAGAATCTGTAGCGCCAGCCCTGGATCTTTTATTCACTATTCTTTTTTCAGGTCAGAGTCTCCCTCTGTCACACAGACTGGAGTGCAGTGCTGCAATCTCACTCGGCTCACTGCAACCTCCACCTCCCAGGTTCAAGCAGTTCTCCTGCCTCAACCTCCCAAGTAGCTGGGATTACAGATGCCTGCCAGCACACCCAGCTAATTTTTGTATTTTTGTAGAGACGGGTTTTGCCATGTTGGCTAGGCTGGTCTTGAACTCCTGACCTCAGGTGATCCACCAGCCTTGGCCTCCCAAAGTGTTGGGATTATAGGGGTGAGCCACCATACCTGGCCTCATTCACTATTCTGAACATGGTTTTACAGAAGTCAGTCGGTGGGGTTCAACCTCATCACTTATTATTTAGTGAGTGCCTTTGAGAAATACCAGTAATATGAATTTTTTTTTTCCATAGGAAATCAAGTTTAGCTTTAAGTTCCTCCCAGCTTCTCTTTTCTCACGTCACCATCACCTTTCCTGTTAGGAAAATCAGCAAGAATTCTATTATCTCTCTAATGCAAGCTAAATATATTAAATCAATCTGTCTACTGTTTATGAGGTTGACCTGGGTCAGCCTGCAGGGTTTCTAATCCAGCTTTATCCACAAATAGTCCATTCATCTCCAGCAGCATATCTAGGCCTTGGAGCTTAAGAAGAATCTAGTTATGTGGACAGCTGTCCCCTTCTCTGGCAGCAATACTTGACCACAGGTCCTAAACCTTATATAAAGAATGAAACCATCACTCTAACCTGCCCTGCCTGGTCACCTAGCACCTCCAGGTAACCTAGCAGGTCACCCAGGTCCTGGCAAAAATGAGAGGCCCAGTGGCCATGTGGGGGACTGCCTGGTTGGTGCTATTTTGTGACGGGGATGCTTAAAGCCTGCAGGGATATCACAGAACTGGGATGCCAAGCATGGGAGCTGGGAAACACTTGCTACCCCCTGACATTGTATGATGCATTAATTTCAGTATTTGTTTATTGTTTGTTTTTCCCAGTCTCCATCTGGTCCTGCCCTTTTCCAGATGAGGACATTGAAGCCCTGGATGACTTGCCTGAAAACACAGAGCTTGTCAGGGCAGTTTGAGGTCTAAAACTCAGGTGTCCTGACATCCAGTCTGTTGTTGCAATATCAAAATATCCACCCCACTCATGCGTTATAACCTGTCAGAGATGCCTCATCCTTGCAATCTCATGAGTTTACATCTTCTTGGAATCCTGGCAGTCCAACCTTTTCATCCCTACACAGAAATGTTTTTATCAGTAAATGGGAATTCCAGTAAACCTACAGTGATATTAGTGGGCGGGCACGGTGGCTTACACTTGTAATCCCAGCACTTTGGGAGGCTGAGGCAGGCAGATCATGAAGTCAGGAATTTAAGACCAGCTGGCCAACATGATGAAACCCCGTTTCTACCAAAAATATAAAAAATTAGCCTGGTATGGTGGCATGCACCTGTAATCCCAGCTACTTGAAAGGCTGAGGCAGGAGAATTGCTTGAACCTAGGAGGTGGAGGTTGCAGTGGCTGAGATCATGCTGCTTCACTACAGCCTGGGCAACAGAGTGAGACTTTGTCTCAAAACAACAACAACAACAAACAAACCTACAGTGATATTAGTTTAACCATCAGGCAGGAATGAGGGGGAAGGGTTGGAAATGGGGAAAAGCACTATTGCCAGCAGAAAGGCAAATACTTCCTATGGGCGTCCGTGGCTAGTGCTTCCCCGCCATCCTGTCCTCACGTGTTCAGTCAGAGAGGGCCGAGCAGCTTCCTCTCCCTACCCCCAAACCCCTGGCCCAAGGAGTCCCAGCTCATGGGCTTGCTTCTCCATCTGTGTCATAGCCTTCAAGGCAGCAGCCCTGATCCAGAGATGGTACCGGCGCTACATGGCCCGCCTGGAAATGAGGCGGCGTTGCACCTGGAACATCTTCCAGTCTATAGAATATGCTGGGCAGCAAGACCAAGTCAAGGTACTATGAGATGTGGGATGGAGCTGCCTCCTGCTCTGCCTTTCAGCCCTTGGGCAGCAGAGCCCAGGTGCTCCTAAGGCGAGCCCAACTGGACTACTCGTGGGTTCTCTTTTCCCTCATCTCTAAAGCCAAGTCTCCTTGGGTTCTTCTGCAGCTCCATGATTTCTTCAGCTATCTCATGGATCACTTCACCCCCAGCAGCCACAACGAGAGTGAGTATGAACTGCCACATGCCATGTCCTCCTGTCGCAAGGACATAGATTGCAGGGTGAAGTGGGGGATGCACAGGGGGTGAAACCATGAATCCGGTGACAGCCAGGGAATGAGCAAGGGGCTGACAAGTAAATGGCAGACTGGGATTTTATGCTGAATTCCCCTAAACACACACCTGGAGACAAGAGTTTAAGTGCAAGGAGTTCATTTATTAAGTTCAAGAAACACTGGGGGTGGGAGGGAGTGGGGAAGGGATTCAGGAAAGGAACAGCAGCCAGTCCAGCAACTCAGTGTGCCTGGGAAACAGTGCAGAACACAAGCCTCAGAATTTTCCCACCTGCAGGCAGAGGGAACTGGAGTCTTTCTGTGTCAACTCCAAAGAGTCATTAGTTGAAAGCAGCTGGGGAGGTGGGAGGGAAGAATAGGAGGGAGGCTTTTTGTTTGCTTTGTTTTGTTTTGTGTTTTTCGGAGACAGAGTCTCGCTCTGTCACCCAGGCTGGAGCACAGTGGCATGATCTTGGCTCACTGCAACCTCTCCCTCCCGGGTTCAAGTGATTGAACCGCAGACACCTGAGTAGCTGGGATTACAGATGTGCACCACCACACCCAGCTAATTTTTTTTTGTATGTTTAGTGGAGATGGGGTTTCACCATGTTAACCAGGCTGGTCTCCAACTCCTGGCCTCAAGTGATCCACCTGCCTTGGCCTCCCAAAGTGCTGGGATTACAGGTGTGAACCACTGGGCCCAGCCAGGAGGTTGTTTATTCCATAGCATTTCTGGCCTGCCACCCGGGTCCAGGAAATAAGCCCTCAGGCTAGAGACGCAGAGGCTGGCAGTTGGCAGCTGCTGGAGGGCACTGCAAGGTCTGACGCACCTGCTGCGCTCAGTAAGTGCAACATAAATGCCGGTGAATGATTTTTCCACCCTGACTTTCTCTTTTCCTCCTGCTTGCAAATCTGGGTCCCTAAATTTCTGTGCTCTCTAAGTCTGACAAATCTTGATCTTTTAGAATAAAAGTAGAAAACATGACTTTTTATTCCTGTCCATCCTAGTCTGTTGTCACTTTTTCCTTCGTTTTTGCTCTTCTGTGCTGGAGCTAAAGCCAGATTTACCATGTCCTGCTGCAATATTCCAGGGAAGAACTTTTTTTTTTTTCTTTGAGACAGGGTCTCACTCCATTGCCCAGGCTGGAGTGCGGTGGTGTGATCTCAGCTCACTGAAACCTCTGCGTCCCAGGCTCAAGTGATCCTCCCACTTCAGCCTCTCAAGTAGCTGAAACTAGAGGCGTGCGAGACAATATCTGGCTAAATTTTTAAAAATTTTGTAGAGACAAGGTTTCCCTATGTTGCCTAAGCTGTTCTCAAACTCCTGGGTGTAGGACTAAGGGTCCCACAGGGTCGTGGGGTGTGCCTTATGCTGTGCTGAGGCGCAGGATCTGAGAAATAAAGAGACAGGACACAGAAGTACAAGGAAAATGCAGCTGGGCTCAGGGGGGCCATGTCACCTATAAGCGGAGACAGGTGAGGCCCCGAATGTCCAGAAGTGTCTGTATTTATTGAGTATAGGTTAGGGGGAAGGGTAATGAGTGAAGTCATCTTTAAGGATAGCGATAGGGTCATGAGCAATGAAACAAGGGGTCCACCCCCATTAGGTCACCTAGGCTAGGAGGTGGACAGTGCACAGCAAGGGGTCCACCCCCATTAGGTCATTGAGGCAAGGAGGTGGGCCATGTGCAGCAAGGGGTCCACCCCATTAGGTCATCCAGGCAAGGAGGTGGGCCATGTGCAGTAAGGGCTCCACCCCCATTAGGTCACCGAGGCATGGAGATGGGCCTTGTGCAGTGGAGACGGTGCAGTGTGCAATACCTCTATCTATGGGCATACTACTCCTAAGAAGATCTATAGGAGGTTGCTTAAGTCACACAGCAGTGACAGAGCTGTCAGGGTCTACTGCCACCTGCTGGCAGCTTCCAGTGGGTTCTATAGGAGGATGCTTTTGAGTTAGCACAGTTAACAAGAGCTGATAAATTTACTTTCACAGTCACCAAGTTGTGATTATCTGGAGGGGTTTTGAGCCCTCGGATGCTCGAGGGATTGCCAGTCTGAGGGCAGCCTTCCACAAGAACTGGAGCAAGGTCCTACAACTCCTTTATCAGGAGGAGTGGCTCTTGCCCCAAGCCTGCCATACAGTGGGTATCTTTACAATACTGAACCCATTTATTTATTTTATTGCATTTTAGGTTTTGAGGTACACGTGAAGAACATGCAAGATTGTTGCATAGGTACACATGTGGCAGTGTGATTTGCTGCCTTCCTCCCCATCACCTACATCTGGCATCTCTCCCCTTGCTATCTCTCCCCAGCTCCCCACCCCCCACCGTCCCTCCCCTATTTCCCCCCAACTGACCCCAGTGTGTAGTGCTCCCCTCCCTGTGTCCATGTGTTCTCATTGTTCAACACCCGCCTATGAGTGAGAACATGCGGTGTTTGATCTTCTGCTCTTCTGTCCTTTTGCTGAGAATGATGGTTTCCAGGTTCATCCATGTCCCTACAAAGGACACAAACTCATTGTTTTTGATGGCTGCATAATATTCCATGGTGTATATGTGCCACATTTTCCCTGTCCAGTCTATCATGACAATAAGTGCTTATAACAAGAAATTTCACATCCTCTTTTTCCTCCTCCCCAAATAGCTTTGAGATTTAAAATAAATGTTTTCTCTCTTCCTCTTCTCTCCTTCCTACTTCTCTCCTCTCTTTTTCCCTCTACTCTTCTCCTCTCTGTCTCATCCATGCACATAAATACAATGAGAGCAGGAGAATAATGAGTTAATACAGTGATCTTATTTTGTGAAGAGATTAACTGAGTGGAATTTCTTAAAATTTTAGATTAACATTGTGTTATTAATCTTCATAAATATCACATCCTGAGTTCCCATTACATGGAGAGGCAAGCATTTTTAGATGATTAAAATGAGGCATAGGGCAAATAAATTATAAACTCTCCAAGGAAGCTCCTATTCAATGGTTTTAAAGTAAGAAATGGCAAATAGACACAAAGAAAAATTTATTATTTTTAAACCTTAGTGCTCAATTCCTAATTTACCATCTTCAAAAGATTCTTTAATAAAACCCTGCCCTGTATGAGTTATAACTTTTTAAAAACGTATATCTTTACCACATTTTGATACAGTAGATTCACTAATATGATAATTTTAAATTTGAAGACATATCCAACTAATGCATTTCTAAAGGTGAGCTTCTTAAATAATAAGAACTGTTGTGCCTTTTATTGACATGATATAGCGGTATTACATTGTAACAGTACACGTAATCACTACATTGTGATTTTTGGTAATATTAGGCTGTGTTTGAAAGATTTTCCTCTGCAGCTATAAATGATTACATAAAAAGTACCAGTACACTGGAGTATTTTTTCATGCTAAAAATGTCATATTTTAAAAAGATACACTATTTCTATTTCAAGATGAGAAAGTAGAATTAATGAAAACTGCTATTGTTAGAGCAATAGTAAAATGTTCAATAGCATCTGTTGTTTTCAATGTTTCATGAAGTCTTACTTCCGCAGATTGTTTATATGATGAAAGTTGAAATCACAAAAAGCGAATTGTTAGAATGATTGCTTTAAAAATCTGCCTTATTAGCTTCTTCTGCCCACTTTCTCAAAAGAAAACTTTTAGGTAGAAGTAACTTACCGGGAGGGTGTGATAAAAAGAAGCATGTTTTATTCATGTACCAGGCTGCTGTTTCTTAGCATGCAAATAAAAGTGCATGAGAGCTAACAGCTGCCCTTAGAGCACTGCATGTCCCAGTCTGCTAGGGGAACACAGCTGGAGAAACGTGCAGAGCATTTTCATCACTAAATCAAACACAAACTAGGAAGACATTTAGTACTACATATGTAATACTATTACTATTGAAAAATAGAGTTTCTGTTATCTATTTTTTTCTGACACCCATTTTAAGCTATGCCCCAATGGTTCTTTATAGGGATGTTTATAAAACTATATAACTATTTCATAATTAAATTATTTACTTTGGAATTCAAAAAACTATATTTTTTTCTTCCTTTCTCCTTTTATCCCTCTCTACTTTCTTTCGTTTCTGTGTTCCTAAAAGTGTTTCATTTGTACCTATAAAATTTTAAACCCTGCTTCAGGTGGTGAGGACAGTATGGTGAACGGTTGAGGTCACTGCTCATAGAGTTACATCCTTTTTTTTTTTTTTTTTTTTTTTTTTGCGATGGAGTCTCACTCTAGCACTCAGGCTGGAGTGCAGTGGCTCAATCTCGACTCACTGCAACCTCCGCCTCCCGAGTTCATGCAGTTCTCATGCCTCAGCCTCCAGAGTAGCTGGGATTACAGGCACGAGCCATCATTCCCAGCTAATTTTTGTTTTTTTAGTAGAGACGGGATTTCACCATGTTGGCCAGTGTGGTCTCTTGACTCCTGACCTCAAGCAATCTACCTGCCTTGGCCTCCTAAAGTGCTAGGATTACAGGTATGAGTCACCATGCCCAGCCAGAGCTGCACTTTCAAGACCATAATAGCATCTACAAACAGATCTCTTCAAATGGAAGACAAATGAAAATTTATAAAGTAAAACAAGTTTAAACTGAAACAAGGAGAGAGAGAGGAGAGGAATGGAGATAGGAAGGGGATGAGACAGAGAGGAGAAGAGTACAATACTGAACGCTGCCACCTGAGCCATGGATTCTTGTCCTGGTATAACTGTTTTTCCCTTAAATCATGCTCTGCACTGTGTCTGCTCCAGACATTCCTCTGACTATAAGCTGCTTATTCCTTAATTCATGCTCTGTACTGTGTCTACTCTAGGCGTTCCTCCGATTATGAACTAAGATATAGTTTTATATATATATATGGGAATAACTGAGTGGTAAGATATTCTTTAGGCACTCATTCTATGAACTAACATATGATTATATAAAGAGAGGATTATATAAAGGGATATAACTGAGTAGTAACACTACTGAGATATTCTTCAGGCACTAATTGTGCCAGGATTCTGCTTAGCTCTCCTTCCTCTGTGCCTATGTGGGTTGGGGGAGTTACCCACACTGGGCTCAAGCAATCCTCCCTCTTTGGCCCCGCAAAGTTCTGAGATTGCAGGTGTGAGCCACCATGCCCAGCCAAGGACTATTCTATAGTGTCTGCAGACTTTGTGATCAGATGATCATAAGCTGGTCTACCTTTTCTATCTGGACTAGGGGACTTCCTGACCCGAATATTCACTGAGGAGAGATTTGCCCAGGACTCCCAGATGGAGAAATGCAGTGACTATGAGTCCATAGAGGTACCTGACAGTTACAGGGGACCACACCTCTCCTTCCCGCTCCTGCCTGACCATGCTACTGCCCTTGTAGAAGCATTCAGACTAAAACAAGTAAGTTGGGGAACTCAGGTCACCACCATCTCCATGAAATGTGTAAATGGAGACCAAACCCAGCACAGAAAGAATGGCCTCAGATTTAGGGTGTTCATGTCATGAGTCCACTAGACAGATTCTACCCCCGCTGTGCTTAGCCAGGATCTTTGGGTCAATCAGCCGGTTCTGACGATTGGAAGCTTTTCTTCCTAATCACATAATCTCTCAATGTTCATTCATCCCACACGAAACTACTGAGCACTGCTTTGTGCCCCACACTGCTCTGGGCACTGACCCACAGCAGTGAACAAAACAGATGAAATCTCTGCCCTTATGAGGCTGGCATTCCATTGGGGAGGCAGACAATGAACAACAAATAACAATAAAGAAGTCAATTTTATAGTATATTAGAAGGTGATAAGAGCTATAAACTAAGTTGTGGGTGGAAGAAATAGCAATCTTATAGAGTTGTCTGGGAAGGTGATTTCTGAGCAAAGGTCTAAGGTGGTGAGGAATGTGCTGGGGAAAGAGCATTCAGACAGAGGGAGGAACACGTGGAAAAGCCCTGAGGCAGAAACTTGACTGAACTGTTCAAGGACCTCGGAAGGCCACTGTGGCTGGAGAAGAGGGAGGCAGCGGGAGAGTTATGGCGGTGAGGGGGGTGGACTTTTATTCTTCCAAAAGAGACGGAGACAACAGAACTAGGAATGACATAATCTGACTTGTTTTTTAAAATAATCATTCTGGTTGCAGTGTTAAGAGGGTGGAGGGGGCAAGGGCCAAAGCAGGGAGACCAGTCAAGAGACTACAGCAGTGGTCGGGATGAAAGATGATAGCGGCTCGGAGCTCGGCGGGTAGGGGCAGAGGTGGTGAGAAATGTCAGCTTCGGCCGGGAGCGGTGGCTCACGCCTGTAATCCCAGCACTTTGGGAGGCCGAGGCGGGTGGATCACGAGGTCAAGAGATCAAGACCATCCTGGTCAACATGGTGAAACCCCGTCTCTACTAAAAATACAAAAAATTAGCTGGGCATGGTGGCGCGTGCCTGTAATCCCAGCTACTCGGGAGGCTGAGGCAGGAGAATTGCCTGAACCCAGGAGGCGGAGGTTGCAGTGAGCCGAGATCACGCCATTGCACTCCAGTCTGGGTAACCGGAGCAAAACTCCGTCTCAAAAAAAAAAAAAAAAAAAAGAAAGAAAAAGAGAAATGTCAGCTTCTGGCTCTATGTCAGAATCCAATCTTTCCCCTCTTCCACATGAATGTAGCTCTTTGCAGGAGGAGCTGAGCTGATATATTCCAGTAATGACAGGATCACTCAGTGCCATCAAGGCCTCTGCACTTAGTCACATTTCACTGAGACAATCATGTGGTCCTCCTATGCTAAAGGCAAGGAAGGGTTTAATAGAGTAGAGAGGAAAGAGAAAAGTAGCTCAATATTTGCAGGAGGGACAAGTGGGGATGATGAAAAGCAGAAACAAGGGCAGAAGTTGGGTGATAAAGAAAGGACCCATGCATAGGGTCCCAGGAGCAGTTTACTGGGGTTACTTTTGGGGTCTTGGGTGATTGGGGTTGTTAAGCAGTAAAGGTAAGGACCATTTTCCCTCACGAATATCATGTCGTTTTCTTCCCTCCCTCCTCTTCCTCCTAGTAGCAGCTCCACGCTCGCTACGTCTTGAACCTTTTGTATGAAACCAAGAAACATCTGGTACAGCTGCCAAACATCAACCGGGTTTCAACCTGTTACAGTGAGGAGATCACAGTGTGTGGTAAGAGCTGGTCAGAAACGGCTTTCCATGGTAGACAAACAAGAAAGCTCTGCTCATGTGGGGATGCAGGAGCTGCGGTGGAGCTGCAGGGGGATGTGATGATCAGCCAAGTTTCACTGCTTCAAATTCATGATCTGCATATGCACTCCACATTTACTTAAAGAAGAGGTGGCACAACGAAGTGGACCGTGGAGTTCAGGGCCCAGCCTCTGCTTTATTTTCCCAAGCAATGCATATTACTCAAACTCCTGTTCTTCATTCAAAACAAAATCCCTGCAAATAACCAGATCCTCCTTGTTAGAAGATGGTTTATTGAATGGTACTTGAGAAAGCTCTGGTGACTAGGAAATTATTCCTCCCAACCACAGACATTCCTGTCCTGGAAAGAAGTCTTGGTAATGACAATTTTCCCCATCTTATGTTTCCAGTGATGGTTAACGTCCTTACAGACTGACGTCCCACACCTTAACCTGGCGGAGAGAGGCTCCAGTACGCCAGGGATTGTAACTGGCACTGCTAGGGTCACCTGCAGCCTGCAGATAGGTCTTGCTTGCCTTGCAATGTTCATACACTTTTTTTTTAAATTTCATTTTTTTCCTCTTTTTTTTTTTTT